GTGGTGGCTGGAAACAGCTCCATAGTATGGTCATGTCTTAACCATGGGTGCTGGTTAATTGAAATCGTGCGGACGCAAGCAAAAGCTCAAATCCAAGGTGGAACAGCATATGCTGAGGGATGAATGACCATGGATAGTGGTTCTCTAATATGCGAACTCTGGATACCTGTCGACCTCCAGTTTTAATTAGACTTCTCACGATCAACGAGCTATGTCGTGGGTGACCCTTTAATCCTGAATTTATATAAATTTCTTTTGGACAATTCTAAAAAAAATTCAAACGTGCGTGATATCACTTTCAAATAATTCCTTTACGGAATCCATACCTGTGTACGTGCCGGCCACTGGGCTGGAAGCCGCCATCCATCCTGACAGCGTTACTGTGTGCGTCAATATGGATCCGGATGGGCCACCGTCTTCTTCTCCACATACCAGAAAATACTTCGTCTGCGATCTCAAGTAAAACGCCAGGAAATCATTGAAGCATTGTCTTCAAATTCCGAAGCTGCCGAATCTTGAGATTCCGACACCAGCAATGTGGTCTCACAAAAGTCCGGTCTAACTGTCGTCGCCTCTAAAGTTAGCAACCTCAGTTTAGAGTGTCCAAAATTCACTCATCTCAAAAGAAGTGAGGGAAGAAGGTTCAAGGCGGCTATGGCATCAGGTCTTAACAGCTCAGAAGCTCTAAAAAACGACACGCAGATCGGAGGTGCAATCTCCCGGTTTGATTACCACCAAACCTTTAACAGCCTAGCTGTTAAAGACGTACGTCTAGGCTTCACGTCAGCCGATCGAGCTGGCACTTTGCTCACTACAGAGCAAATAACGCTTCTCCAGGAAGCCATTATTGATGTTGCTATTGAGCAACACAACGACGATATACAGCCGGAGTTCGAAGGGTGTTTACCTAGAACGGGGTGGCTGCTTATCATCTGCAGTGATGCAAAAACTGCGGAGTGGGTCAGAAATTTTCAGGTCACATAGGGGCCAAATGCGGACTCGCTATAAACGTGGTAGAGGAAAAGGATCTTCCACGAACTCACGTAGTTCGTGGCTATTTTCCACTGTCAACTGACACTGTCAAACGAAATTCTCTCTGGCACCCAGAACAAATTCTCCACCAAGCGGTGAAAGGTGATAAACAGGCTGACGTAGGATCAGATGATACACCTGGTTTTCGTCATTGATGACGAATCTATGAAGAAGTTATGCGAACTTAAAGGTAGGATTGCATACCGGTTCGTGATCAAAGGGTGATAAGAACAAAGGTTCTCGACGAGACAAACGTGAAAGTCTCGTCCATAACTCTCTTAACGAGACAAAATGAGCACTTTTAAAGTGCTCCAGGCAAATCTGCACCATGCTAAAAAAGCATCATCCACCTTGTGCAGAATTGCCCAAACCAATAACATCGATCTAGGACTTATCCAAGAGCCGTGGGTGTTCGATGGCCACATTCGGGGTCTTAACACAAAATCAGATAAGCTGATTTATGACCGATCGATAGCAGTGCCGCGTTCAGGTATCCTAATCGGTGGGACGTAAAACATCTTTCATTAACTAACTTTATTTCTAGACCCCTAGTAGCGGTTCTAGTTGAAGTTCCAACAATAAGAGGAGTCACAGATATAGTCATGGCCTCTGTCTACTTACCAGGTGAAGAAGAAACCGTTCCACCATCGGAAGTTCAGCAACTGATTAGCTTCTGCAAGTCTACTGGACGGCAGCTAATTCTGGGCTGTAATGCAAACTCTCACCATGCAATGTGGGAGCGCAGCAATATTAATAAAAGGGGTGAGTACCTATTCGAATATATTATGCCTTTAGGTTTAACTATAGCTAAAAAAGGTAACCAACCCACTTATATTAATGCAATTAGAGAAGAGGTATTAGATCTCACTCTATGTATCAAAGGTATTAAGGAATCTATATGGAACTGGCAAGTGTCGGACGAAGTGTCCCGTTCTGACAATCAACATATTAGGTTTGAAATTTCAGGAATATCCAAACAGCAAGAAAAAGTGTGCCGGCCAAAGAAAACCAATTGGCATAGGTACAGGGACTGAGTGTGATCCGTTTTTTTTTTAGTACTAAACCATGGCACGAATTTTTTTGTTGTAGTTTGCAGCGATACAACTATTTTTTTACATTAATATTTATTTACCAAGCATTTAAAAAAATTATATTTACCTGTATAAAATATTTAATATTATTCTAAATTTAATAACATAAGGCATAGTATCGTTGATGTCGACTTCTGATTGTTTTATATAAACTTAAAAACGTTATAATATGCGTGTGAACGTTTAATTTATACCTTACACAACTATATATACAATGAAATTTAAAAAATTTTTACCAAATTATTTTTAAATTGTAATATTGCAGGTGTCATTGAGCTGAAGAAAGCGCATACTTCTATGTTTTTAAAGAAAATAATATTAGAATGCCTGAAAAATTTCAACATAGAAATTGGCTAATTATAATGTGTTACAACAAATAATGGTGCCAATATTGTTAAAGCCACAAAATTGCTACGAATGGAACAAGAACTTGACGAAAATGAAACTGAAAATCATGATACTGACAATGAAATGGAAATGGACATGCTTCAATTTGTGGTAGTATTATCTCCAATTAGACGTGCTACACATACGCTCTAGTTTGTTGCAAATGATGTCATTCGTCCTGTAACAACAAAAATAAAGGAGCATCGCGACATCATTAAATCGATCAGGACATATATACGAAATAATAGAAAGCATTCATCAATTAATATGCCACCGCTTGCTAACGCAACAAGATGGA